CTTCTCTTCTCTTCTCTTCTCTTCTCTTCTCCTTTTGTTTTTCCTCCTCCTCTCCTGGGGTTGCCAATCTCAAGGGTGCAGAGTCTGGGAGTGCAGAAGACCCCCCCTTGGGAGACCAGGAGCCCTCCTGGGGGTGCAGGTTTGAGGGGGGCCGGGGGCTCAGGACCTGTCCCAGGGTGCAGGACACCTCTTGTGGTACCAGTAGTTCTTCTGGGGGTGTGGGTTTGAGGGGTGCTGGGGACGCAGGGCCCCCCCAGGGTGCAGGACACCTCTTGGGGTGCCAGGAGCCCTCCTGGGGGTGCAGGTTTGAGGGGGGCCGGGGGCTCAGGACCTGTCCCAGGGTGCAGGACACCTCTTGGGGTGCCAGGAGCCCTCCTGGGGGTGCAGGTTTGAGGGGGGCCGGGGGCTCAGGACCTGTCCCAGGGTGCAGGACACCTCTTGGGGTGCCAGGAGCCCTCCTGGGGGTGCAGGTTTGAGGGGGGCCGGGGGCTCAGGACCTGTCCCAGGGTGCAGGACACCTCTTGGGGTGCCAGTAGCTCTCCTGGGGGTGCAGGTCTGAGGGGTGCTGGAGATGCAGGACCCCCTGAGGGTGCAGGACACCTCTTGGGGTGCCAGTAGCTCTCCTGGGGGTGCAGGTCTGAGGGGTGCTGGAGATGCAGGACCCCCTCAGGGTGCAGGACAACCCTGTAGCCCTCCTGGGGGTGCAGGACCCCTCTCATGGTGCAAGACACTTCTTGGGGTGCCAGTAGCCCTCCTGGGGGTGCAGGTTTGAGGGGTGCTGGAGACGCAGGACCCCTCCCAGGGTGCAGGACCCCTCTCACGGTGCAGGACATCTCTTGGGGTACCAGTAGCCCTCCTGGGGGTGCAGGTTTGAGGGGTGCTGGGGACGCAGGACCCCTCCCAGGGTGCAGGACCCCTCTCACGGTGCAGGACATCTCTTGGGGTACCAGTAGCCCTCCTGGGGGTGCAGGTTTGAGGGGTGCCGGGGGCTCAGGACCCCTTCCAGGGTGCAGGACACCCCTTGGGGTGCCAGTAGCTCTTCTGGGGGTGCAGGTTTGAGGGGAGGTGGGGACGCAGGACCCCCCCAGGGTGCAGGTTCCCCTGCCGTGCCCATGGAGACGTGTTGGGTCGGGCCCGGGCGCTGCCGGGCGTCCCACGGGAGCAGGAAGCCGGGGTGCGGCGGGTGCCACCCAGCCACCGCTCCCGGCCAAAGTTGAAGGTGGAGAGGAGCTGAGAGCACCCAGCCCTGCCTGGCACCAAGGGGGGGGTCCCACACCACCCGGGGGTGAGTGCCTTCCTCAAGGGTGGGATCCCAAGCCACGGGGACCCCCCAGCCCCGTGCCCACCTCGGGTTGGGGTGGCCGGGCAAGGTGGGAGGTGGGCAAGCACCTCGAGCTGAGGTTGGTCTTGGGGCACAGCTGGGGAAACTGAGGCAGGGGGGGCTGGTGGAGGACACAGGGCAGGTTTTCGGGGGCTCAGGACCCCTTCCAGGGTGCAGGACACCCCTTGGGGTGCCAGTAGCTCTTCTGGGGGTGCAGGTTTGAGGGGAGGTGGGGACGCAGGACCCCCCCAGGGTGCAGGTTCCCCTGCCGTGCCCATGGAGACGTGTTGGGTCGGGCCCGGGCGCTGCCGGGCGTCCCACGGGAGCAGGAAGCCGGGGTGCGGCGGGTGCCACCCAGCCACCGCTCCCGGCCAAAGTTGAAGGTGGAGAGGAGCTGAGAGCACCCAGCCCTGCCTGGCACCAAGGGGGGGGTCCCACACCACCCGGGGGTGAGTGCCTTCCTCAAGGGTGGGATCCCAAGCCACGGGGACCCCCCAGCCCCGTGCCCACCTCGGGTTGGGGTGGCCGGGCAAGGTGGGAGGTGGGCAAGCACCTCGAGCTGAGGTTGGTCTTGGGGCACAGCTGGGGAAACTGAGGCAGGGGGGGCTGGTGGAGGACACAGGGCAGGTTTTGGGGGGGCTGAGCGGTGCGGGGGGGCACCGGTGTCCCAACCCAGCTGGCACATCCCCTGGAGGAAGGTGGCTGGAGCATCCATTAGGAATAATTCCCTAATTATTATTATTTTTGGTTTTCCAGAGGCAAAAGCACCACCAGGCTGTCACCTGCCTTCCCGCC